GTACATTCTTCGTCTAGCAGCTTCCTGTATTCGACACCGTGAACGCTCCACCACATGCAGAACATGACCTTCTTGGCGTGTGCTTTGGGTTTAGGGAAGTCTTCTGCATCGGCCCTTTGTCAACCCATTGAGCACGTCGGTGAACGTTGAAGTAAAGAATCCACTTCTCATCCTCGGTGACTAGGTGGTCGAGCCACGTGTGGGTGCATTTGAGCGTGAGGAGAGAAAGTGCCATGTCGGCTCGACGGTCCATGCCATACTGCTTTAAGGCATGAGGCACACATCGACCGAGCTTTAGCGCCTAGCCGATTTTCTTCAATCCACGAACAACCGTGGACCGACTCACCGCAAGAGAGAGCGCCAGTTCACGAGCAGTCTGCACGAATCGGCTTCCGCCTGGCTCTACAGCAGGCTCAAATCCAACTCCGTTGGGCGTCCCGGACGGCCTTCATCTTCGATGGAATAGTCGCCCGACGCGAACATCGAGTACCACTTGTAAATTGTGCTTCTTGCAGGGCGTCCTCCTTGTAAACTTCCTTCATACTTTTATCGATCTCCGCGGGTTCTTGGCCAGATAAAAAAAGAAACAGGAGGGTGTTGCGGAGATGAAGTTGTGATGGCTTAAAATCATGGGCCATGATTGCAGGAAATGAAAGAGTTAGGAATGAAAAAAAATGTGAAAATGAAAGTTTTGTTAGTATGTTTTTGGAAGAGGTTTTCAAACTCTAATGATGCCTTGCGCGCCCATTTTCGTCACATCTTTCCGAGTTATGATCTATAGAAGTAATCAATATCACATTTTACAAGGACTTCTGGCTCAATCTAATATAATACGAAGCATTCGATTCAATCTTTGCCAAAAGTTTACGACCAGGACCATTACGCACGAGGATCAAACAAGTTTCCGATGAAAAATCATTTACTCTCCTTATTCCATTAGCAACTGCAAAGTAACTCATTGGACCATCAGAAGACTGCGAATCCCGACAATGGTTTGTACCCATACAGTCGAGAGAGGCAATGGTAAACGACCTCTAAAGAGTACCTATTAGGGTCTCGCTTTTTTAATCGGGTTGCTCATTTATAAAAAAGTCGCTGCGACGGAAGACTCAGTAAAGAGTAAATGAATCTGAATGGATGGTTGAAAGCAAGAGCAACAGATCGAGGCTTCTTAAAGTCGATGTAAGTGTCAACACATCTTGAATGAATACCATTTGCAAATTGCATTCACGCCGAACTCCTCTCCATAGAAGCTTCGGCCTAAACCCCGAAAACTCGATCCCCTTCAAACGTTTTTTGATCAAAAATGCACCAATCGTCTGGAAAGAGGAATAGCGAGTCAGCCAAGCATTCCGACCCTAGTTCAAAAAAGCGATGAGCCTCGCGTGAGTAGGGTGATCCGAGTGCTAGAGCGTGATGGAGGTGTAATACTCGCAACAGTAAGTATTTTCTGTTGCTACGATAAAAACTGCGATTATTGTAGATCTATACTACATATTTTGGACCATTTAACCATAGCTTACATCTTTTTCGCAGTAATGCAAACAAACTTTTTCGTGATTATGGTTCAGTGAGAACCTCAGCACTGCAACACCAATAGATATTTATAATCGCCAATGGTTTTGTGCAGTTCATATTGCGCTGCAAGCTATGGACCAGAAGAATTCCTATGTTGCCCGCTGTTTAACGTAAGAGTACTTTATGCAGTCTCATTTTGCTACTGAACCCAGTTCGTTTTCAAGACCGGTTTTCCACGCCTGTGATAGGCCCCCGTCCAAATAATGAACAGTCATAAAGAGTAACGTAAAATATTTGCTACAGTAAAAAATATTAAGAAAGTCGGGTAAGCCTGCAGGTTCAACACACACAAACTGCGTTTCGCTGTTCAGGTCGACAATTTCATCGTGTGTAAACTTGGAGCCAAAGCAACGGTGTTTGTGGTCCGATATTCTGAATACGTGCAAAAGAGAAAGCACCATAGCGTCTGTTGGTGGTATTGTTAAGCAGATCTTCCCATTTCTCTGAATTGCATCTCATCATTTTCCCTCTCTTATTAACTCTGAATGTTTTAAAGATTGTATGAATGATTTCATGCATAAATTGATAAAGTTATTGAGCAATTATTGTATAATTGCACATACACCCATATTTCGTGGAACGCTTAAAACAAATCTGGTACCGTTGAACTGTTGAAGGATGGTTGAAGTTTGATAAAGTTAGAGGTTACAAAAACAATGCTGCCCGACACTTCTGTTCCAATCCATATTTCACAAAGGGCTAGACAAAAACATTTGCCATCGACTCACAACGTCCTTGTCAGCCTTTATTAATGGTATCGAACGCTCCCTATCGAACGCAAATTCTGTTCACGTCACAGTTACCGTAGTACCCTGAAGCGTGAAATTTCCTTTTTCACAAGGAAGTGCAATTTAATCCAAGTGGCTCTTAGATATTAACGACTCCACCAGACTTTATCGCTTGTTAACTATTGCTATCACCACCCACTGATGTTCTCATCACTCATCATATCGTACCTTCCGAATTTCAACACACCGCGTAGGTGTTAAGGAAGGCTATGACTATGGTTATATCACCTGCCCATCAGCATTCCCATGCTGCCGCCTGCATCCCTTCCCAAATTGACTTTGTAGGTCTTGTGAAACAGAGATTATGATGTTCCCTCAAGCGCAACTTTTCGTCCACGCCCGTCCGCCCCCCCCCCTCACCCTTTGGCGGATTCTAGTCCTGCCACCTACTTTCTGTGTTCCCATCGTGCCGACCCTAATCCTACCAAATTTGAACGTTCTAGATCTACAGGAACAGGAGTTGTGATTTTCCATCGGACACACACGCATACATACACCTTACGCATATAGCAGCGCTCAAAAGTATTCGGCCAAATGCTTCTTCCCTCGCACTTTTCGGTCGTAACTCCTTTCCTACTGGATCTTATCATGCAAAATTTCGACATGTGTAGCACGTGTGTATTGTGAATATTTACGACTATTAGCCTGCAATCTGATCATATTCCAGATATCCTAAAGAGCTCGAGCTCAAAATCAACTGGAAATACAGACGGTGGTCCTTCTGGAACTTCTTCCCCTTTTGCGATGTCTTAAGTGTACGAGCGCTAATGCCAAACACAGTGAACGAGAAATACGCACATAAGGTACAAATAGTTGCAGACGTCGCAAACTTGCTTTCAGCAAGTATACTACCGCAGCAAACACCTTGTTTCAGTTATGTGGATACCAGTTGAGCTACGTACGCTAATGCGAGCACCACATGCCCACTACCGCTTACCTACGTCTTGTTAGAGGATCATCTTCGTCGTGCCTACGTGACTTTCGGAAGGCGCACAAACGGGCATACAAACAGACACACAAAATTACCGCTTTGTAAATAAATAAATAGATATATACATATATATATAGACAGTCGGACCGGGCTTCCCTCCTTCTTATGATAGAGTTGAGTTAAACGGCAAACAGCACACTCCTGCTTTGGGACGAAAGATACATTTCGCATCACGACGTTCGATAGAGGAACAATAGGGCATGCAAACGATATTCAAAATGTGCCTATGCTTATGCCGTCAATTAGAATTTCTCTGTCTCGATCTGTCGCTTTTGATGTTAAGAATAATGACCAATTGAAGATTTAAGTGGTAGACATTCAAAGCCTTGAATGGTACTCACAAATGTTATGGAGCCATAATAATACCATTATCAAATGTCTTTATGAATGTAGCTCCTTTTCTCTACGGACACATCATTAAATGAGAATCCAAGATTGTTAGCGGTCGGATAAGTTTTGCCATGAATGATATCAAAGCAGAGAGAAACCCTGGTCCTTCATTGTGTCGCAAACTTCGCTAAGTAGCGGTCGTAAGCAAGACGTGAACCAAATTCCATAATCGATCCCTACCAGTGCATCTACCCTTCTTGTCGAATGAAACATATCAAAGAATCAAAGCTAAATCGTAAACAACAAAGGCGTAAGGATTCGTGATCGGATCTTGTCCTCTAAGGCCTCTTCTATCGTCAGTGTTCCCATCCTGCCCCCTCTACTATTGATTTTGCTCTCCATGTCCACAGGATCAGGGGGAGACGGGCGTTAGGAACGATTTTGGGTAATCGATTCGCCGCACGCGGCTGTCGCGCACCACTCATTCGCCGTTATTACACCTCTAGCGTTCTCCATACAGCTCAATCGATATGCGATCGATCAGGAGGTGTATGGATTCTTGCTCAGACATTTACTTCACACAAACTCCGCCCCCAGTGAGCGGGGTCCGGTCCTACTACCACCCACCACAAGTGTTCGCATACTGCCGCCTCTCTTCCTACCGAGTTTGAGCGCCCTAGGGCCAATTCGAGCACACCTCGCCTTTTATGAGCGGGGTCCGGCCTCCCACCTATGACAATTTTGGCGCAAACCCCCCCCCCCCCCCCCCCCCCCCCCTCCCCTCCCCTGTGGCCCGATCCTGCCACCCACCGTTAGTGTTCCCACCCTGCCTTGGGTACTCCTAGCAAATTTGAACTTTCTGGGTTCACAGAGGCAGCAGTTATGATTTCCCGCTGAAACATGTTCTTCGCACAAACCCCGCCCCCTGTAGGCGGAGTCCGGTCCTGCCACCCACCATATGTGTTCCCATCCTGCCGCCCGTGCTCCTACCAAATTTGAAGGTCCTAGGTCCACGGGAACAGGACTTATGAATTCCCGTACAAACAGACGAACGGACAGACAGACGGACGGACGGACAGACAGACGCGAGCGCTTTATATAAAGTACCTAAGGATAGCTGCTTTGCAGTCGAATAGTGTTGGGTAGTAGGAACTACGCTTTGACTAGACATAACAAAGTTTCGCGCGATTTGCTCCTCTAAGAAAAATGTTATTCCCGAAAAAGCGTAAAAGCATTTGGCCGAAGACTCTTGAGCGCTACTGTACATACACACACATATCCATTCGTACACTCATACACAGACACTCAACTCGTTAAATAAAGTAGGATGATGCCAGTAACGGCTTGCTTAGCTCGCTCGAACTCGAGACGTTCGGCATGGAGAGTGCCGAGACGACTTCATCCTGTTCAACTTTTGTAACCCAATAGTTACCGAATGCGGATTCTCGCACTTGAAGGAGTACAGGAAAAGGGTGTCCAACGCAATAGTACCAGGAAACCGTGAACACTCCTGGCACATTGATCCGAAATGATAAGGTGCAATTCACGATATCCAGTACAGGGACGAAGAAATCCTTGACCTCAAGCATGACTCCTTGTCCTGCACCTTTGCTGCAGCTTGGTAGAGAACTGGAAAATGGGACGCGACTGTAGGAGGTTAACTGATAGGGCGGATTCTGCCGGGGTCACTAGGAGCGTATTCACTATGGCGATGAAGACAGCGACTGTAGACTCTCAAATGGATTTCGTTGGTAATATGATTCGAATTTGATGAAAAAGACGACTCGACGAGAGACGAGGTATGCCCAAGAGTGTCTACCAGTAAGGCGATGATTGAAGTAGGAGCAGTAAACTTGGAGAGGTTGAGGTCACAAGATACCCCTACACACAGGTGGTGAGGTGAAGAAAATCCACCTAATGCGGTGAATTAAGTTCTTCTAAACGACGGGTTAAATGTTTATTTGGAAGTATTTCAAGCTATATCACACCTTGTATCTCATCAAATTGATAGTGTGACCTTCTGATAATGTAGATCAGCTTCGGGATTCCGTTTGAGCAGGATCATTTGGTACAGTTTATGACTGTTTTAGTAAAATCATCGCAAACATTCTGGCCATACTGCCAGCAGCTACCAGCTATTAAAGTTCGATGAAGCAGTTGAGAAAGCCCTCCAAAGGGCATCTGAACCGCGAGCAGCGCTTTAGCCACATGCGATAAACTCGGGGGACGGTCAAGTCGTGCGTCCGAGGATGCGCGCAGCAAATTGCGCGGCGAAGTTCGTGGAGAATTTGGACGACTCCGGCGCATATCATTGGGGCCCAAATCTGAAGTAAAGTAAATTAGAAGGATAATATAACCCTGCTAAACTAGTCTACTTTGAGTTTGTGCCCCGAACATTGGTGTCAGGGACGTTCAAATCGTCACGAAATTCGCCGCGCAAGGTACGCATTCACACGAGGAACCCAAAACTTTTGTACGAACGTGCACACTTGGCTTCGGGGGCCTCGGGTCATTAGAGGAAGGGTTGTTCCGTATTTTTGTATGGCCTTCAAGACACAGTGTTTTAGGCAGGGTTTAATTTGACCGAAGGACTGCTGCTCAGAGGTCGGTCTACTGCTAAGAGGTTCTAACGGACACAGATCGTGAACTTAGACTCTAACCATCCTCATTTCTGGTAATATATTTGAATGCTAATGAATGACATAACTTGAGAAGTGTGCAGAGTGAAATAAGCAAGGCATTTTGTAACTGAACACTATTCTGGCGTTTTGTTTATTCTTAGTATGGCGGTTTTCTTTAGTTGGGCTGATATTAGTTTTCAAACTGTAAGTTTGTTTCGTCCTTCATTATTATGTAGGAGATTGATTTCGCTCTTGAGTACTAATGCGTCTTGATAGATTTGTATGTTCTTTTACAACCTTCATTCAGAAGAACTTTGTCAAGGTGAGCGTTGTTCTGCGGTTTCCTGCTAGTAGGACTGGACATGGAAGCAGATGACTCGGTTGATCCGCCCAATTCGCTGACATCCTTCGCAAGCCCAGTTCTCTTCAATGATGAAGGCTTCGAAATTTTCGGATCGACTGGTACGGTTAATTTTCCAACTAATTAGAAATTTTGATTTTGCAGCATTTGATCTTGATTTCCTGCATATTTTGAGATGGAGAGGCTGGTTCCGTTGGAAGCGTTGTGGAGTTGGAAATGGAGCGACCATCTCTATCTTCTCGTGGAAAACAGGCTTGGCCGTGTATTGAAGGAATGCGTGCAATCGAGCTGGTGGAGTCGAAGTGCTACAGGTGGGTGTGTTGTGAAGGGCTTTCACTACTTTGGTAGAAGTTAGAACGTAGAAGAAACGGCTGTCTTCCTCTTGGAAGCTCTGACTGGGATAACTGAGCTCCACTTCTCGGGGAATCACATTGTTTGTCCTTATGACCCAGAATCGTTTCTGCGGTGTTCACCACCTGCAACTAGGTCTAGTCGAGGTACTACTTAGTCATAGATTCTGTGACTTGGGTTACTAATTGTAAGACAGAATAGTAGTCCAAGTGCTGTTCGCCTACTTCATGTTCAAGCCTTTAATTCCTCGAACGGCTCTTTTTCGTATTTCCACTGTAGTGCCTGTTCTCACATACTTTTCGAAACTGGGGATCGCAGTTTTTGCCGAAACAACTACCCTTTCTGCGTGAAGAAGTCTCAAAGAACACCCTCCCCCTTTGTTTTCCTATGCGTGAGGTACCTATTGGGAGATAGTGAGTTAAAGAGATCCGGCATTCGTTTAATCATATTGTTTGGGTAGTGTTCCTCCATTTGCAAGGCAATATATTTGAAGTTGTTTCATGGTATAATAAACAAATAAATATTATAGTTTATTTTTTTTTTACAGGACACCTCATGGATTTCAAAAGGAGGCAACATTCCCTTGTCAAACTCTTTATGAAGAACCTTCTACATCGAACTTTGGAGGTAGCCGTTCACTTTAAGGGCATAGAAATCATCCTTATCATTAAGATTGAGAATGAATAAAGATAGACTTTGTAGGAAATGACCTAGTTGATACTGTTCCTGAGCAAGAAGAAGCACAGGTGATGTTCCTATTACTGCCAATTTCCTCCGTTTGATAGCAGAAGAGCGCTGATATATTTGATATATTGGCATCTTTATAGAACTTTTCGGAAACAAGTCGACGTGGACCTCTTGAAAAGTTCACATTAATGATCGGAGAAAACATCCTTCACTTCAAAATTGTCAAAACTCGTGCTGAACAATACAACCCTGTTGGTTCGTTCATTGTAACTTACTTTGATAACTCTGTCGAAAGCTGCATTTATAACGACATCTCGGTCATTAGTTATTTTGACTGGTTTTAATTGGTTTCCTTTTTCCTTTCACAAACTATGGATTTCAGAAGAATGGAATTCCTCATCTTTCTGCAAGTGTCCTTTTTGTAGCAAACTGCTGCCGACGAAAGCTGCTTATGAACTCCATCGAGCGGTATCCACTTTTGTGTTCTATTCTTTTGATTGAATGTGGAAGTTGATCCTTTCCTTCATTTTCAAGACATGCCACTGCTCTGCGAAAAGTTTTCGATGTGATACATGCGGTGCGCTGTTTTCTTCAAAAGTCAGCTTGGCACTGCATATGCGTTATCACACAGGTGAGCAGTTGCATTGATCCAAATAGCATCCAACTCTCTGTTGCAATTTTGGTGTGCTGCCAGTTCGAGCACACTTTTTTCATGTCTTCCTTCCCGAATTAGTATATTGTCCAACGTGTTTGTCTCTTAGTAGGGCCTCTTACCTGCTCCAGCCTCCCCTAACCACATCTAAGCTAATCGCTCAACTTAGATGGCTTTAAATCAACGGAATGCGGCTCATAGACATAGTGTTGTAACTTTGTGATGCAGTGGTCACTAGTTGAAATGCTCTTCAAGAAATTTTCGATTGGTACACACGGCAACCATTCCGAAATTCTTCGCATAGGGACCCGGATGGCCCTTCATTATAGCCTTGCTTTGTAGTTGCGAATAAAGGATCAGTGGACGATCAAAAAATAACAGCTATGTAAGTTCGTCGTTTTGTTTGCTTCTGTAAAATCAGTTGTTTGCTTATGCAATCAGTGGAAATTTTCAGCTGCTTCAGTTCAGTGTAAATAGCACAGCTCCCATAATACATCATTGTATCCAGGAGAAGTCATAATTCCGAGTTTTTACTGGTTGCAATACTTATTTCTGTGTACAAGTTGTGCTTAAAACTGTTCGAGATCTATAAGAAGTGCACCTCAAAGGGGCAGTACACCTGTTGAAGATTTTCAAACTTTTACTGTCTCAGAAGTTCATATTCTTAAAAATCATGGATTTTTCAAAGGGATTATTAGTTGAGTTTCTCGTCCTTGAAGGTCCGCGTCCGTTTCGATGTACTGTATGCACCAAAAGCTTCTGCCGTGCATACACCTTATCCTTGCATATGAAGATGCATGTGACTGGCCACCGCCATTTTTGTCAATTATGTGGGAGGTGGTTCAAATCGATGATCGCCCTTGCTGAACATGAGGTGAGTATTGGTTACGCGCTCGTTGTCGTGATGAAATTTTTCTCTCTTCTAGAACACATGTTTGGCGTTATTAAATGGTGATTTTGTCAACACTGATCGCCCTTTTCGGTGGCAGTGCTCGTACTGTGAGAAAATGTTCCATCATAGGAGAGATAAGGTAGCTGCTTTTTTAATGCCATTTCCAAAATCACCATCATTTCTTACGGTTCCACAACTCAATATCTTGCATTCAGAATATCCATGAAAGAGTGCACACAGGAGAGAAGCCATACGCGTGTGGATATTGTGGCAGAGGGTTTTCGCAGTCGCAGGTTGATTTTGTTATACATCATATGCATTTCCACTTATCTTTCATAATGATACACAGCTTTTCTTCCTTCTTCTGTTCGGTGGGGGCTGACTGTCTTGATTGCGTCTAATTAACTCTTTGCCAACTATTCTTATGCAAAACGCTCCATAAGTGATGCATCAATATTCTAACTTTGTTACTTCCAACAAAATGCATAGGCTTCAAATAATCGCACATTGCTTTCGTTTACACGTTTGCATATTATAATCCGTGGCACTCACGAGGCATTCCGACTAATTTTTATCACTTTGTTCGATAAAATTTGTACCCATCCTCATTTTTTGTTCTTATTTCTCTGTTTGCTTTCAGACGCTGACAATACATATCAGGACGCACACTGGTGAGAAACCGTATCCTTGCAGCGTATGTGGGCAAGAGTTTAGGGATAGGTATTGTGTTTTGCTGGATGTTTTTGTGTCCCTGGTCTATTCTGGTTTATGTTTCAGTTCTGCACTCCGGAAACATGAATACAGGCATACTGCGATTCCCGCTTCGTCGGTAGTGTCATCACTGTATGAGGATTCTACAATAGAAATAGGGATGGATGACGAACGTTTATGGAATAATAGGGGTCCTTGACCAGTAATATTTATGTGTATCTATTTGTGAGTCTTTCTCTCATTTCGTTGTCAGAAGAGGTATAGGAATATTGATTGTGAAAATGGAAACCCAATACGATGCCCAAGATGATCTCCTTTCACTTGTGATGCTATAGCATAGTTCTATGTTTTTTGATAAATATAATCGCTGTATGAATACCAAGTATGTATTTACATCGCACTTTAGGTGTTGTGTTGTAATGGACTGCTCCACATTCACTTGGAAGGAGGCGGTTTTGTTTCAAGAACAATGACCACTCTCTGCTTGGTTTCATTTTCCTTCTTTGTAACCGTTGTGGCGCAACATCTGCTATTCATGACTTTTCGTCACCCCTAGAAAAGATAGACTCACACAACCAAGCGCAGATGCTGCCCCTAAGTACTGAAATGGCTTTAAATGGAGAGGATTAATGGTACTGAGAGTGAGGGACGCTTCATTTCTTTCTTTTCCTTGTTTATCTTCCTTCATTTTTCTCCTTTACCAAGTAGTTCTGCGCCGTTGCAGGGTCCTCTATCCTCGCCACTTCCATCTAGCCACGGCATCTTCGCGTGAGCTTAGCTTTCGCTACATCATCCATGATCACGTATGGCCACATTTCCTATAGGGCTTACTGAAGTCGTTTTCCGTGAGCATTAAAATCCATTGCTTCTTTCATCGGGCAACGATGTGGTCTTTGTGCCATACTGGCGCAGACGCTGTTCTTTCATCTTGAGCTTGATGGGGCCTTTTGAATGACTGTTCTGATATCTCTGTTTCTGACTCTCTTCAACCCAGGCTCATTTTGAAAATACCCCCTTACTGAGGAGTGAAGTGTTACAAGGATCATACCAAAATATAGTTCAATTAAAGTAGTTGCTTATCTCTTGATCAGTGTTATCCAGAGATATTCATTATTCAAAGAAGGCAAAGGACGCCCGGCTCTGTGCTCACATTTTCGACACTGTGGTCCTTCCTGCTTTGACGAACGTTTCGGAGACATGTGTTTCACGGAGGCAGGACGCTGTCAGCATCACTCAACAGCTTTAGAGAAGACGATGCTAGGTATTTCATACACGCAGATGCAGAAGGGAATTCGGAGGTTCGAGCTCTATCACGATCAGGGACTAAACCGCTTGTAAGGGGACAGAAGACCATGTAGGCCTGAAACGCCGAAATTGTTCACCCTCCCCTTAGACAACGGATAGTGACTACCGCACCCAGGTAAGGGCTTTCTATAATTCTAGCACGCTATATTCGTTAAACATGCTAGCTTTATCGCTGGTAACGTTTGCGACTCCATATCAAAATGACGCGACTTTTCTCAACAAGTCCCGATGGTGGTCTTATGACCGTTTTCGCATATTTTGCAGGCCATAGTTCTTGAACCGGCAGGGATCGAATTCCTGATGTTTTTCAGTGCAGACATGATCTACACGTCTGTACAATCGACTGTCCTGCCCTGAACGAGAACATTGAATCCTTAAAATATCAGACTCGACAAATCCCGCACACTACTGGCCTAGTCTACTGAGATTTTGGAAATCTAAGGTTTCCTTTTTGCGCATATGGTATTTTCGTCTCCGTGTTCATCTTCCTCTAGTAGCGCAATTCAATAAAAGTAGCAGAGAGGGCTGCAACCCTCAAAAGAATTTAGTTTAGCACCTGTCAACCTATAAGAGTTTTGAACCCTTGCTTCATTCAATAGCCAAGCCATCTGAAATGGATGGAAGACATTGCAACTCCAGTTTGTAGTCCAAGTTCTAGATTATAATGTGGAGATCAGAGTAAATCTTTCACGTCCGACATGTTCAAAATTAAAGGAAAAAAATCTTTTGCAACAGACAACAAACAATCAAAATCAACAAGTTCCAACAACACGAAAATACTTATATTGGAAACGAACATAAATCAGAGTTAATGGAAGAGTAGTGTAAAAGGTTCTAAACAAATAATAATAAACGCTATAATGTGGAAAACTCTAAGAAGAGCTAGCGACTTTCTTTGATATTAATTTCTTCCGTTTATTTTTTATGAGCTTTGCGCTTGTTTTGGCCAAAACTCTTTTGCCTACTTTAAGTTTCAATCGCTTCCCTTTCTTGGCCTTTTGGATGTAGCCTGTCTGAAAATATTGATAATTAGTTGGTTTGTATTGCTTGAAATATTCACTCTTAAATATAAAAAAGAGTAACGTATTGAAGTTCAAGACATGAATGCGTCCGTTGAACGCAAATTCCAAAAGTTCCCCGGGGCCTGTGTTTCAACCTTTTACATGATTACAGAGGGAAGAACGTTGGAAGCTACAAATTTGCAGATGTTGTGCTGAAGGCATCCTGCGCCTAACATTATATACGGTTTTTGTTCACTTCGGCATTATCCACCACGCCCCATTCGTGGAAGCACTGCTCAACGAGACTGTTAAGATGCAGTATCAGCGACACCTTGGTTGGAACTATGTGCATTTCCCTTCTTACTCCAATCTTTGCCATGCCTCTCTGAAGGGAACCATTTAATCATTTATTTTGGCAAAAACATGTCTGCCATACCGATAAGGTCAAATTTTTCCTCTTCATCAGTTTAAGCGCGCAAAGGCTTGAAGAAAGACTTTGAAACATTTCTTCCCTCTCTATCTTGATGCCAGGGGAAAACAGGGGTCAACTGCTGTCACGTGAGATAACATTATAACAGATCAGGAAGGAACATACAGTAACGTGTCCTCCTTCCACCTTCATTCCCATCAGAGAATGAGCGCAAACAAGAGCTTAAGAACCGGAATAGCGAAACCAAGAAATTGACAGGCTTTAGGAAAGTGTTCAAATTAAGATGTAAGCGACTAGTGATGGCAACCAATGCTAGGATAGAATTCAAACTGTCCTTCAAAGATATGACAAGACTATGAAAGTCAAAAATCGGAAGAGCTGAAGAATAAAATAGCGATAATATAAAGATTTCTACTGACCGAATTGAAGCCATCGTCTTCGCCATCTCCTGAGACTTTTTTCGCCTTGTTTTTCAACTGATTCCTTTTCTTCTTTGCCTTCCGAGTTTTACTTCCCTCAAGTCCAATCTCTTCTGAAATATTGAACCAAATTCAACTCATTACAAATCATTGGATTTTCCTAATAATTGTCCATGTTAATGTGCTAGAACTAGACAACTTGTAGAAGAAGGAACTGAAATTCCACCGGATGCCATCTCGGAGAATGGATACAGACAGAAGTCCTGCTCACTGTCATCTCCCCGACCTGCGTAACACTCTGGCAAGGCTTCCAGACATGATATGCTTTCAGCCACAAACAATCAGTCTTGATCAATGTGAATGAGGCAAATAGTCGATAAAGGAAAGAGCGAATCACAACAAACGTCGTGACGCTTGTCACCCCTCGATATGCAATAAGCTCGGTATCGGTCATCATGGCCCTGCGACCAATGCATGGCCGCTGGTAACAATTTTAACCTTTAAGTCAAAGTCGCTGTTATGCGGCGAAAAGTGACTGCAGTTTATGTGTCGCTGATTATGAAAGCTACTTTCAGAATCACGGGTTATTCATCAGCATGGCAGAGAATGGGTGGTTGGCCTAACTGTTGAACGATTACTTTCATAAAAATTGCACTTTGTAACAACACAGTTTGCCAAAAACGTCGAATCGAATAGTCTCGCTAACGAGCGGAGGGCTAAAATCAGGGTTCATAGACCGCGGCAACGAAGGAATATCAGCAAACATGTTGAAAATCGTCATTAGCTATAGCCAAATCAAGAAAGGGAAAAGAAAGAGAGAGGACCATCTTTCACTTCCTCGTTGGAATGCGCCGATGATTTGGTAGTTCAGCCCAGAACTACGAGTGCATCTGAGTTGATACTTGCTCGCGGACACCACCATCACCTCATTGAATCATTGCCGCTATTCTTGGGTGCCAATTAAACTATCTTAACCTGCTAAGCGATTCATTTAACTCGAAAAGATTCGATTCTTGAAATGTTCATTGGTCGTGATGAGCCCACTGCCACTAGCCATAAACCCATAAGAGAGTGATTCTTCCCCGATTGTCTCAAGAGCAGGTCTTTATACAATGCGGTAGACAAACTATACAAGACGCGCACATGCCTTACTCAATACTGGTAAGTGAGAAAATGAAAGAAGTTAAAAAGCAGCATCTACGGTGGTAACAATCAGTAGCTAGAAACCACAACAACAAAATTTTTGATTCTAAGTGTTAAATGAAGACTAGAGGCATACCATTGTCAGAGCCGTCGGAATCCTTATGGGCACGTCTTTCGCTTTTTGACAACGTCTTCGAGCTTTCGCCTTCGCTTTTTTTATTGGATTCCTCCTTGACTTTTTCGAGATTTTCACGTTGCGCCTATAATACTGCATAGATTTGACAGAAAAAGACTGCATAATGTTAGAATTGAACTGACAATGTCGACGCTCGCTTTTCCCATTTTCGCATTCGATAGCTTCTTCAACTTCGCAACGAAAAATCCGTCAATGTTGTGAACATGAGGATAATAACGCCGAGTCAGATTTAATGAAGGATGGAATCGATACTCACGAAACCTATGAAAACAGTCAGTAGTTTCACATAGATGGACTTCATCAGAACTGACTCACCGTGTGAATCCCTCAACTCCAACATCCAAGCCGCATGGGACCAGTTCGCAATGCCTTTTTTGTAGAGCGAAATTCACTACGGCCTCATTTTCCTCAACCTAAAGCAGCAAAGAACTTTGAAAAAAAGAAGGAAAGCTAACCAAAATTATAAAATCATAATAAACTGCTTAAATAGCTGCTAAAACGTGTATTTGGAAAAAAAAACAATAGCTTAAATCAACAATCATCCTTTTCATTTAATTCGGTATGCGAACCTGACTGAAGGCTCCATCAGCTGGAACAACTTCTATCGGATAGAAATAGCACTGCACATATTGAGAAATAGCATTATAACACATTTGATATTAGGTCGTGGAGAAAGTTCTTGCGGTTTTTGACGCCCAATTTTCAAATGCTCGCCGCGATGTTATTTGCTATTAGATGTCTTGCATGTTTTACACCATTCTGGAGCGCATTTCTTGCTCTATCCAAATATATAATCGGTTTTGCCCTGGAGTGGTTCCTAGGGTTTTTTAGAAGGTCGAAATCAGCATGGACAAACGACAGATCCGCATGATTTTTCTTTTCCAATCCAAGTTGGGCAGGAGTGCGACGGAAACGGACCGGGATATCAACGATGACTTAGATCTAGGTATGATGAATCAACGCACAGCACAGTGGTGGTTTGAAGAATTTCGTACCGGTGATGAGAGCCTGGAAGATGATGAGCGCAGTGGACGGCCATCGGCCGTTGGCAACGAACAATTCAGAGCGTTAGTGGAAGAGAATCCACGTACAACGCTGAAGGATATTGGCTCAAGATTGAGTGTTTCCAGCTGGACGGTTGGCATCTACATGCAGGAGATCGGGAAGTAGAAGAAGCTCGATAAGTGGGTGCCGCATGAGTTGACTCAGCACCAGAAAGACCGCCGCTACGAGCTCGCCTCCGCCTTGCTTCTGCGCAACAGGAACAATCCATTTCTAGACCGTATTGTGACGTGTGATGAGAAAAGGATTCTGTACGACAACCGGCGACGATCAGGCCAGTGGCTGTACAAGGATCAAGCCCCACGACATTTTCCCAAGCCGAAGCAGCATGGAAAGAAGGTCATGGTGCTGTTTGGTGGTCTGCAGTCGGGCTGATCCACCACAGCTTCATGGATCCGGGAGAAACCGTGACAGCCGAAAAGTTCTGTCAAGAAATTGACGAAATGCATCGAAAACTCCAGCTCATGAGCCCGGCACTGGTGAATAGGAGGGGGCCAATTCTACTCCACGACAACGCTCGGCCTCACGTCGCACAACTTACCCTGAGAAAATTGATGGAGCTAGGCTATGAAGCTCTCCCGCATCCACCATATTTCCCAGACCTTGCTCCCATAGACTACCATTTCTTTAAACGTCTCGACGCTTTCTCAAGGAGAAATGCTTCAAAACCCAACATGATGCTGCCGCGGCATTCGACGATTTCATCGCCTCTAGATTTCCGGACTTCTATGCGAATGGATACTCGAACTTGTTTTTCGTTAACAAAAAAGTGTCGATAGTAATGGTTGTTATTTCGATTGTTGAAGTTTCGTTCAAGCCGAGATATATGCATTTGAAGTTTGAGGCGTAAAACCGCAAGAACTTTCTTCACGACCTAATAACTTGATAATAGTAACATAAAACTCTCACGAACCAAAACTGAGCAGGTCGAGTATACCACATATCCCCCGCTTGGTGATTTTGCATCAACTGCATCAAGAGCGGCAAGAATAAGTTGCCGTTGTATGGTGTGCCTGATAAATCGACAATTAGGGTTGGGAGAATTCACTTGAGAAAAATATGACTTACTTCCGTTGAATATCCTGACTGTCCTTACTTGTCTTCACTGACTGATCTTTCCATATTACACCAGTTCCAGAACAGGGAGCATCCAAGAGAACACGATCAAAGCCATTAGGAGCTAACTGAAAGTTTTAATACAGAGTGATTCGTGTTTAACACTAATCCGACTGTCCGCAATCTCTGTGCTGCCAATGAGAACCATGTTTTGCATACTCCAACCACATTTTACGATAATAACTACTATGGAAAATTATAAGGAATGAATATCGTTGAACAGTGACACTGACAACGATCTACCCTTGATAAGACAGAACAAATATTACGATAGCCAGTAACGTAATGTAAGTCAGTAGGCTTAGCCCGTTATTCAAAGCGTAGCTACCAAGGTATATGGCGACGTTCATAATGAAACAACATGTAATTGTAGCTAGGTGGTGATTCAAAATGGGAAACGATTACTACGACTGGAGCTTAACGACTCAGAGCTAGTTACTAACTTGACGATGATAAAAATAAGAGGATAAGTAGCAGAAAGGCGCTCGCGCCAATTGACAAAACGTGAAAGAGAAATAGCGCTGGATGCGATTGAATTCATGGACCGTCTAGAATCAACGGACAACTTACTACCCTTTATCTTGTGTACAAACCTTTGCATACTCTTCTCCGTTGAGATTACTGACAATGGCATTGTTGACGCCCAATCTGTGTAAATTTCCAATAACAGCACGACAGCGGCTCATCTTAAAATACATTGTGTGATGACTCTACGTAACAGGAGAAAATAATGGGCTTACGTTGGCGTCGTTGGCGAACAATACGCCACTATTTTTCATAAGGCTAGCAATATGAGAAGTTTTTCCTCCTGGAGCGGCGCACATATCAAGAACACGATCACCAGGCTGTGGAGCAAGAGCCATGACAGGTAGCAAAGAATTCAGACCTTGTATCATGTAATGGCCAGCAAGGTACTCAGGTGTAGCTCCTTAACCGAAAAAAGCCATCATTTCACCAGCGATTGTAAATATAATATCGAATAAGCTACCTATTGGAACTTGTGAGTCATACACCACTAATCCAACCTTTGTCCAAGGAGCTGCAGGATCGACATTCATACCTCGATTTATCAAGGACTTCGCCAAGTCTCCTCTTAAAAAATTAAAACTGGGCAGAATACAAAAAGCGAAGAGATTAGCAATGCCCTCAAACTAATTTGTCGCATCTTCAATTTCTCTTATTTCAAAAATCATACCAAAAAAAGGAAAACCAGGGGTGTATACGAAAGTCGCAAAAACAACAACACACCTCCTTGTTTTGAGTGTGTTCGTTCGTATCGTAACGGGACGTTGCTGGTCATTCGCATCCAAAAATTCTATCAACTAAACTCAGTCATTATCAGGGGATAAAGATAAGATGCGATGAAACACATGGACGCGCCTACCTCCGAAGGCTGGGGGAAAAGCTGCATGAACTTCGTCATGAGAAACTCATTGTAGCCATATTGAGAACAAAGATCCTTTTTCAGCACAGCAACGTAATCCTCTCTACTTTTACCAGGCTGACGGCGAGTTTTGAAGTCGCCAAGCACCTGAACAAATGGCTTTGCTATTAACGACCAGCCAATGTTCTGTCACGACAGTTTACACTATTATTCATACGGAGATAACAGATACAATCTAGAAATACTATACAACAACAATACCTGAACAACTTCACTAATTCTGTCTCTGATTATTTGGAGATTGGGAACTTCTTTGAGCTGTTGCTCTACTTCATCAACTGTAGGAAGTTCGTACATCTGCTGACCAGCAATATTAAGGCGCAGTTCGGAATCACCCCGATCCCTGGAAAGACAGCGCATATTTAATGATGAACGGTGAAAGAGCAGGAAGCTTATACACTAACGCTGTCTTTTGCTTTCTTTTGTTCAATAACCGTGCTTTTTTCTCGATGGGTAGTTCAGCATCAGAATCACCGTCTCCTAGAAAACCTCGAACATCTTTGTGAAAGGAAAAAACACTGGCTGGAATTCACCACTTGCGCTGCCATCCTCCGATTCGTCACTCGGGAACTCATCGTCCATTTCAATATCGGAGTCTTGCTCCATACTATCTTGTAGCATGCTATCATCCGCATCATCGTCAGATTCAAATAGAGGGATTGACTGCAATTCAGAAAGAATATAAGTTCGCAATAGGGAAGGAGGAATTAAACACAGGTTTGTCATAGAATTCGCACCTTTTTGTTCTTCTTCGATTTCAGGGTTTTCGATTTGTTTGTGAGCACCGAAAGATCATCTGTACCGTTCTAATAACAACGAAAATGAAATTAAATTGCATTGGCATGAGAAGGGGAAGCACAAACGCACCTCTTTCGAAGATGTTTTTAGTTTCTTTTTCACAGATTTCCCATTTGGAATTTCAGACTTTTTCGGCAAATCCTTTCTTTTTTTCTTCACTGGTGAACCATCGAATAATGCCGGCTCAGCAGGCTAAAAATACGTTGATAGGTAGGACTGAATCGTAATAACGCGTGAAAATCTTTTCATGATCTTAATTCAGAGGCACAGACGAGCCACTTCCTACTCCAAAAATATTGTTCAGTCCTGAGAAAAATCCTCTCCTTTTGGTTCCCAGTTGTTCAACATGACTCGACATGCTTCTATTCGAGACTGCTGACTTAGCCGTCGCCGTTTCACCGTTTACTTCATAACTTTTTTTTCAACATCATTGCGCGCGACAGTGTGACAAATAGATAACAGTGTTATTAGCATGAAAACTGGTCGTATTGTAATATTTCTGGAGTTTCAAGGTGGAGTCGACTAAGATCGCGGCTATTTAAAAAATTTCTGTTATAAGTATAGGGAGTGTGCAACAATACATCACTACCATCCTCACTCCTCTAGTTGATGAACTCATAAAAAGCAAGAAAGACAGGTAAGATAATCTACCCAACCACCGAAAGCTCACGGAATTCACTCAACCTTTATATCGCGTGCTAGTCCACACACTTTCCCCATTTACTCCCAGACCAATACACATAGAGTAGCCTTAAAAGTCTTGGGCCAAAGGTTTTTTTCGTTGTCAACTTTTTTCTTATTGTAGCGAAATTGTGATATGTATAACCAAAGCATATTTCACTTTTACATGGGTAACATAATTCGCTGAACGCAAAGTTGGCGAAGTCTGCAATTATTCTTTTTCTCCTTATTTTGTTCGGCTTTAGCACTCGTACGCTTCAGACAAGGCAAAAAGGAAAGAAATTTTAGAAGGACCAATGTCCGATTTCCAGATGAATTTGTGTGTGGAACACGATTAGATTGCAGGATAGCATTCAACGAGTTACAGCTGAAACCACAGCGACCCTCTCAAGAGACGGTCCCAGAAATACCATGATCAGTATCGAAGCAAAGCGAAACTAGGTTATCGACCCCATGTCAAGAGTAGTCTTTGCACAAACTTTTGTTGTTAGCCTCTCAAAGAGGAAAAGAAGGCAGCTAAGATCAGTAATGAACTGAATTACGAATCACTGATGGAAACACACGGTTTTACGAGTACTTCGACAAGAGATTACCGATCAACCTGAGTCCTAAGCTAACATGTGTACGTATATGGCCTACTTTATGCAGAACAAAATACATAAGTCGCCGCCACATAAGAAGATTGAAGAGTTGTTCAACTAGTTTCAGAAACTTGCAAACTCAAGCGCTTTAAATATAAAAATGACCATTTTGCACATATTCAACTAGTTTTCAACCCTTTAGAAGTACTTACTTATTCAAAGAGGTGTGATATAGCGGCAACTACAAACCTAATTTGAACTCATACAGTAAAACTTTACTCTAAAATCCTCACCTTTTTCAGGGTTTCAGGTCCCTTCTTTGATTTGGAATTCGTTTGCGAGGTCTAAATAGAGACGATTAATTCAGTGAAGAAATATTGGTTGTTTACCCAAAGATTATCAGCCTCTCTAACCTACGGGTTTGATATTTACAATTTTGAGGCAGTCTAAATCAAATCAATGTTGAAAAAGCATAGCAGATGAACAAAAATAAAACATTGAAAAGCATAAAGCATAAAGCAAAACATAAGTGACATCATTATTAGGGTATATAACGTTCAGATACGGAGGGAAGGAGACTACGTTTCAATTTCAGATGCCCTCGTTAACCCTTGTCAAAACACTCAAACTGAAATATGAGAAATGCAAGCTTTTACGATAAACCGCAATTTGAAATTTCGCCGTAGCTCAACCAAATTTATTTACCTTTAAATGCAAATCGATGTGGATGAAAGATATGATAATTTTGTGATTGTTAGATTAGTGAAAACACTGGATAAGCAACTAACCTCTGCCGGACTAGCCATAGACTTTTTCCTCTTGACTGTTTTCTTGATCTTTTTCACAGGCTTGCTTATATCCATCTCTGCCCCGATGCTTAACAAGAAACGAATTCAAAATATTGATAAACAACACAGCCTGATTGTTTCCCCGTGCACGCCGTGTTATTGCGTACAAAAGTCCATTACCGTATCCTGCGGCTCTTGTCGTGATTGAAGCGGGGGATTTTCCATCTTGCTAATTGCAGGTATTGAAGGCAACAGAGTTATACAGTCGTGCAACCTCACTCCCAGGTCCTGCTTCGATGAGAGTCCTCCATTCAAGATGCCGGGACGGGGACAACGCAGATCCAGGAGGCGGCCTATGGATAAAGCAGAAGTTCGGGATCATCTACATAGCGAACATCCCTTCGCACTTATCTGACAGACGAGACAGCCTTCCCCTCCTGGACTACGGTTGAAGCCTACAGCCTACAGCTGAATGCACTATAAAGTGGAGAACGTCCGTTGCGCGTGTCCGTCGAAAGTAGGTCACTCCGCCCAACTCGCGCGCGGCGCATCACACTGAGGTCTCGAGATGACATTACAGTACCACCAAGTGTCGTTGGAGCAAATGATTTGCATTTGTCTGTGTTATCTTCTTCTTGAATTGGCTGCCGTGGACCAAACGCAAAGCGTACGCCCCAGTGGCAATTGTGACGTCTGTCAAATGTCAACGGGCCGACCCGCCGCGTGCGGCNTGTCTCTCTTGCAATGAAGGTCCACTGGGCGGTTGGGNGAACGTCCGTTGCGCGTGTCCGTCGAAAGTAGGTCACTCCGCCCAACTCGCGCGCGGCGCATCACACTGAGGTCTCGAGATGACATTACAGTACCACCAAGTGTCGTTGGAGCAAATGATTTGCATTTGTCTGTGTTATCTTCTTCTTGAATTGGCTGCCGTGGACCAAACGCAAAGCGTACGCCCCAGTGGCAATTGTGACGTCTGTCAAATGTCAACGGGCCGACCCGCCGCGTGCGGCGGCTGCGGCGTGACCTAGTTTCGACGGACACGCGCAACGAAGCGCACCCCTATAAAGTAGACCTGTACCTGCTCTAGGCGCTTCCATACGAACGGTCCTCTGTATGAGATATTCCTCCTTCATCTCTGAGTTCTTTCCATAAATCGTCGTGGTTGTTTTCTAGTGACGATGTATTCTGTCCACTCATTATAGAGATAGAAGAAGAACTATCCACCAACTCCTGCTCATGCTTCTGGTCGGGAAGGTTCAATATCACAAGAATCACGGTTCTTCAGCAAGAGGAACATTGTCAACACCGTATACGACATATTCGTTTTAGACGGAGATTTGGGTAGACCACGAATCATCTCGAAAATGAAAGAAACCGTTGATTGATGTAAAATCAACACAAAAATTATTTCCATTACTCGAGTAGAAAACTCCGTTCAATGCAAACGCTGTCTTCCACTAAGCCCATATTACGGACTCACGCTTATGATGAATCCCTCTTCCTACTACTATTCCAAGTAGTCGGAGCCGCCTCTGGCAGCTCATGTATATCAAAGTAATTTAAGCTCATGTGTGTTGAATGTTGACCTGGAAATACCTTCATAACTCCGTTCACGGAGTCATTTAGAGAAGGCGTAAGTGCAGGCCGTCTATCATTTTTCCCATCTCTTCCCTATTCAAATGAAATATGACTTCGCAGGCATCATTCGCAAGACCCACTGGGGTTCCGCTAGTCACAGGACCGAAGGACTACCCTTTGTCGTCTTGACGGAATAGTTACACCTTCTCGAAGAGCAATGGAGAAAGTCATCTACGACTTTTACTCGGATCTTTTCGAACAGCCACATCTACATGCTTACCGACCATAGCCAAGACGGATACACTCCTTCGGTTCTCCCTTCCCGAGTCGACAAATCATCACGTCGATGAAAATTTGAAAGGGACTCGGTTCCAGTAGGATCAAACCAGGACATCTGGAGAGCATTCTGCCAGTTATCGTCAGAACACTGACTGAGCTCTTCACGCGGTACCTGTCGGAATGCAGAGCGTCCACATCGTGGGGAACTAGCAACTGTTTTGCTAGTAGAATTGGAAGAGTCAGACGATTTTGGCTACTATTACTCATCCTGCCTGCTGTCTGGAATCTGTAAAATCATTCTGTCAAACGAAGTCATTCTCGAAAGGATTGGCAGAATATTTGATGAAGAACAGCCATGCGAGCAAGCAGGGTTTTGAAGAGAGTTCAGGACAAGCGATCACTTTAACACTGTCACAAGATTCGCCGAAGTATTGCGAGAGTACAAAATGCCTTTATATCTAATGTTTATCAATTCGAAGAAAGCCTCTGATTCCGTTGAGACAGAAGTAGTTGAAGCCCTGGGCAACAAGGATGTTCCTACTCAATATGTAAGGATGGTTCTTGAGTAGGAGTCCTCAAAAACTTCACGACAGGATTTCGCCATATTACAAGGAGGTCATAGTCGACGTGAACGGAGGAGTCCGGCGAAACTATGTCACCCAACTCTTCTGTGCCGCTCTCGAGAATGTCAGGTGTCAAATGGTATGGGAAGACTTGAGAGTAGAGGCCGACGGCTACCTACATCATCTCTGCTTTGTAGAGGCCATCGTGCGTATAACATTGAATGTCGAGCGGGAGGAACAAATGGTGGCAGAATGTGGATGCGCTTGTGAAAAGATGGGTTTACGACTGATCTATCGAAAATCATGTTCGTGAGAATTCTTGTTTCAGCTACTTGTATCTCGGTTGAGAAGTGAACATGATGAAACCACTGAGCGCTGGGCTGAGTAGAAGGGAACCTGGACTTGGGGAACATTAAAGAATGTCGAGGGAGTAGGAGTTAGACAAAGAACATCTGGCTCCGCTCTCACCTTTCGACACTACGATGCTTCCTGCTTTGACCACGTACAAAGCATGGACTCTACAAAAGCAGAATGAACATGCAAACACATCATGAAACGCGCCGTGGACAGAATGATGCTCGAAATTTCCCCGTAGGTTTAAGTGCAGAGGAGAATCCGGACTTCTGAGCTTCTTCAACGAAGTAGGATCAGGGACAGATAGCTGTCGTCCGGAAAGGGGAGATCCGGTCAGCCGGAAAAATCCTTGCAATTTTCTGATAGCCGTTGAATCAGAACGATCACTGAATGGATCTCTTAGGACGTCAAATGATCACCAGGAACTAAGGAATGCTATATCTCGTGTCTCTCTTGCAATGAAGGTCCACTGGGCGGTTGGGGACTCCCCGCTTGCACCACCCATCAAATTTGAGCGCTCTAGGTCCAAAGTTAAGTTATTCACGCAAATCCCGCCGCTTGTGGGTGGCTCTGCCACCCATCATGAGTGTTCCTATCCTGTCGCCTGTACCCCTACCAAATTTGAACTTTCTAGGTCCATGGGAACCGGAGTTAAGAATTTTTGCTCAAACCCCGCCCCCTGTGGGCGTAGTCCGGTCCTGCCACCCACCATGTGTGTTCTCCTCCAGCCGCCTATACTCCTTCCAACTTTAAACTTACTAGGTCCACGGGGACAGGACTTATGATTTTCCAAAATGTTTTCATAAAGCATTGCATTTTTGGAGAACGCCCCGCCCATTGGGGGTGGGTAACCCAGTTCTAACTTACCAATGCACACCTCTAGCCAACTTTACACTCCAGTTTTGAAGCCGTCTTGTGACTGAATTGGAAATCATAGTCCTCAGTACAGCTCATTTCGATGCACGCCTCCCCCACTGTGGGCGGGGCTCCGCCAAGCTGATGTGTGCTTTATACTTCTCGCGATATGGCCCACCCATCCCACGTTTGACCCGGTCTCTTCAGGCAGATCTAAAGGAGCTAAGGATTTTCGTGTCAGACATACATAACGACAGAAGACAGACAGACGACAGACAGGCGACAGACAGACGACAGACGAAGCGCTTTATAGTGGGTAGAATTGACCTAGTTTGCAAAAAGCAGGCCTATGCAGAATTTGTCAAGGTTTCTTGTCGTGTTTCTCCACATAAATGGAAGAGATTCCGTTCGATGGTTGGTTTCACATTCTTTGAGTTTTACGCCGAGTTCCGTAGAGAGGCCTACATGTTTTTGTAATCAGTGAAAGATTCAGATAGAGGCGAAGCAATGAGAGCAATTTCCCCAAGTTATCCGAGAAGCTCATGTGAATGGATGGGGAGGCCCTTCAAGGCTGTCAGGAGAAAGGTATATTGGTGGACTGCAGGGCTTCAGGGCAGGAATCTTTAGAATTGACGCACGCATATCGACCCTCCAGCGTCTACAAAATCTATCAATGGTCACATTAATATTGCCTAGTCCTAGTCATTTCAGTGCTTGTCGAAATCTCTTGTTTAATCCTCAAATTTGTCAACTAGAATATGCTATTATTCTTTCAACATCCGCAATGCTCATCTCTAGCTATTTTTATTAAGTTAAACAAATCAAGACACTGTACAATTAGAGCTTGCGACCAAGTCAAGTCTGCCATCACAGCATCGAGATTGAGTCAGCCCTCAAGGTTCCACCTTGGGGCGGAGAGAGCAAATTGTCGTTACACTCTATTGAACCGATGTTCTTCGAGCATTTTGCAAATTCCTGTATTTCACCTGGAATTAAAGAGTATTCAGAGTATCATCGCTTTTCAGGTCCCGTTTCATTTGTTTGCCATTGATAGATAAACTCTGTCGCTATGGGCAGCCACCATCTACAAAGAGTTTCTCGCCTTCTGCCGCCTTCTACCTTTTTCTGTAGTGAATATGTGAATCGAAAAAGAACACCGACCTGATCCGAATATGGAAAACACGCTGCCCGAGATGATACACAGCAATGAACTGAGGAGAAAGAGGTTATTCCACTCCTCCATGGTTCCCTATAATAACAAAGCAACTTTGCTGCGTTATGGAAAAATAAATTATTGAAACTTTTGTGGAAAATTTGGTTGATTTACCCTGGGTGTACCCTAATCCAGCAAATTCGAAGGTTTTCCCGGGTCGCACAGCTCAAAAATTGTGATTTTTTCCAGTATTCTCTTTACATTGAGGTAAGCGCTGCTCCATCTCTTCCCATCGAAGAGCATGACTCCATGCCTATATGTTTACCAGTGTTTCCTATTACAGGACAGAAATGTTTCCTTAACTCTGTTCCTAATCGTTTAATGAATTTGGAAGGCAGATCCGAACTGTTTTTCGGAACCACAGTGGTATACCTCTTGTCTTGAATGGCCATTCAACCTACCGCCCTCTTGTAAATCATAATAGTGCTAATCATAACGAAACAGACGATTCTCCATAAAAAAAACATGATTTTTTTTAGGATAGTCAACGAACTATCGAGACGACGGCAGCAACCATGAAGGGAGTGGTAAGCTGAGCCAACATCGAAACGCTGACGCTGATTGATGACAACGTTGGAGTGAAGCGTGGAGCCAGTGAGAGCAAAGAAGTGTATGCACCACTGAAACTGTCCCCGATTTATCTTCAAACAGTTTCTTACACAACATATTTTTTGCTCAAAAAAAAAGGAAAACGCGGATCCGCAATTTATTTTTTATTTTTCGCAACAATTAGGGTGGACTCTGTGCCCTATCCCTCTGTGGCTTCGGAAAAAAATGACTCTAACGACATTAAGTTTTCCTATTTTGTGGCTCTTATCCAAAATGATGCTTTGATGGTTGAACGTTCTCAAAACTTCGACCTCAACTCGAAAAATGTGACCCAAGAACTTCATAGGCGCTATGGTCTCTCTAATTACTGCTTCTGAATTTATGCATACGAGAGACCAGAAAGTTGTTTTACAGTGGCATACCTTGGTGTAATTCAGAAAGCACCTATTTTACTCCCAATTACAACCTATTCTATATCAGGGTAAACCTGTTTAGGAGCCTACTGTAACAGGTAAGATACCTTGTGTGTGCTCCAAAACACATGTTTGTAAAGCAGAGAAGAACTAGAGCGAGAACCGGCCGCTGACATGTGGCTAGTAATGCCACTGGTATTAGTCCTGCAGCCACACCAAAAGTTGCTGAAAAGGTTCAAAATTCAAATAGTAGAGATATTCACGTTAACGTTGCACTTACGAAAGCACTGCGAGATTTTTACTCCTAATGTTGGCGTGAGGACGTTTCGTCTCTTCAGCCTATCGACAAGGACTCCCCATGAGAGTTTGAACACGAAGTTAAACATCATAGGTAGCGAGGAATACAGACCATTCTGAATGGATGAACGATTTGTTCTTCTTTGTCACTACTTCTTGCTCAAATCAGCGCTCCTTATGAGGCTCACAACACAATTGAAAACAAAGTCTCTTACAAGCAGCACATCAAAATGTAGACAGTTCTGGCACCAACAAAACAATGCAGGCTCAGAAAGCTAATGTGAAAATCCGCCACAGCCACCGAGGAAATAGTAAGCATTTACCAAGAAAAACAAGATCATCTGATAAATTTCCAAAAAATGAAAGTAAATTTCTACTAATTCAAATAAAATCAAGTCAGGTAATCATTACTTGATAATGACTTAAGAAACCTCTGCGTGACTTACGTAAAGCTGCGTTCACTAGTTTCACTTTATCGATGGAACTGAGGCAACGCTTCCCAGCCTATGACTCGCAAAACGATCATGAATAGGATTCCTTGCTCACTACCAGATTAAGATGTGGTTTGGTGAGACTTTTGCTTTTTTTGTAAATCTATATATCAGGAATCCAACTGCCGCAGAGCATCCGAAACAGTACCCTAACACTTGGTATGTTCTATAAAAGTATGTTCTACATTGTATAAACTGAAGTTATAAACGTTTTGCTTTGGATGTCTCTGCAACTTCCAGATTTAAATGCAATTGCAACCAAATTGGTATGACAATTTTCTTCTTCCTGTTTCATTAAAATTATCCTATGTTTGAAAGAGCTAAGAAAAATTTCAGATTTAAATTCATTCTCACTGAGGTTCACGATAAAATGGTTTCTGAGATACTCCTATAGAATGGATTTTATGTATTCCCCCTCATATACCATATCTGGCCCTCAGATCGCAAAACGACATAGTTAGGACGTTATTAAAACTCAAAGATTGTCCCGTGTGTATGTGCGGACGAGTTTCAACGGCATTGAATAGCACACTCACACCACTCACAAGGGAACCAACTAGAAAATTCAAACAACTTGTCATAACCATTAGCGACAGTGAAAGGCAGTTCTGTACAGTTCTGGCTTGATGTAGTCAACTCTTCGCACTACTGCAATGACTGGAATCTCGACCGAATACTCCTTCCATGTTGTTTTCGCCACGGTAATCTCGTCCAACCTCTACTTTCACAACTTTTGGGAGCTTTATTTTGCTCGAAATCGACGAATTTTCTCGCTTTCTTCACTACCGATAAACTATTCCCGGACTATACTTCGCTTTTCGGCCGAAAAGTGGTACTTCAAAATTATCGTGGACTGTGTCTTTGAATGTGCACTGTGCTTTTTCATAGTTGGAGGTTTGCCTGTAAGAAAAGGACGGTAGGTAGAAATGCCACCTGGAGTAAGATGTAGAATGTAGATATCAGGATTAGGGAGAGACGGGAGGGAGTATTTTATGGCTATGTTTCTCGAATCTTCCCTTTCCCTTTCCCTCTAAACGAACTACTGGGTTAGTTGTAAGGTTGTTCTGTTACAAATGATATGCACAATATGCACAAAATGCCATCTCTGCATAATCTATCCCTCGCGATCTTCTTACGGGACATTCCCGATACTGAGACATTCATAATTGCGAGAAATAACTTTGCATGAATCGGTTTTCTGAACGGCAAAATCCAGAGGTTTCTCGAGTTTATGTTCATGATGGCTCCCATGGCGAGTCTGTGAAATTCCTGCTCAATCAATGATGTTTTTCTGCATAAAAATAAGCCAGTGTGGGTAACATTAGCAAATGAACCCTCGAAATACCATAAGTTCGGCTGTGGCAAGCCAGGCGGTTTTCCTGATTCAATAATGAGTGTGGAGAATTGACGAGAGTCTTGTGCAAGTTTTTCAAGAGACAATGCAACAGAGTGAAGGGTCAGGTTAGGACATTTGCAACTACCTTTTTCCTCATGTACTTCCAATTCAGCCCGATGCCTTTGTCTGATCGTGTAAGATGATAAGTTGTAACACCACAGTCAAGGCCTTCACACTTGCTTCTCCTTGCTAATAGCTCCCATAACATGGAAGAGTAAAGACATTTCCTAACTTCGACAAGAAATTGCATACCGGGCATAGAAATTACCAGTCGTGGGAGTATCCATGATGGTCAAGACTAAAGTAATTCAGAATGGTTTCATCTTTCGAAAAAACTGTCTTATTGGTGTGCTAGGCAGACTGAATGCTGAGCGATAGCAAGGAATTGAGCCCCCAAACTTAACCTAATGTCCCTCTGGGGCTTAATATAATACATCCTATCCAACTTTATATACCCATTCTGCGAGAGTAGGGCTGTCGAAAACCCATTCATCATTGTTCATAGAACCGTACAGGACTTTCGAAAGGTCGGGTGGTAATGAGTATTGAAGCATAGATGGGATACATCTCATTTAGAATGATCACCTGGGCCTAGTAACTCTCTCTTGCCATAAGTCAGCAAAAACGCATATTTCTTCGCCTACGTCCTCCCAACTCATTGACTGTAAACGATCACAAATGCCTCTCAACCCATTGACTGTAGACGATCACAAATGCCATGATACAAATCCATGTAGTTATAGGTTAAGGTTAAGGTTATATGCCATTTCAGTTACTTCAGTTACCCGTAGCCAAACCCACGTTGTATAAATGCGAACTGCAAGGACGAATTCTAATCCTTTATTTGTGAAGTTGCTAGAGCGAAAGCTCATTTCACTCAAGTTGCTCAGAGCACTTTTGATGGATTTGATGATGATTGTACATTTAACAACATAATAAAGACCAACCATAATAACGCCCAACAGCAGTACATCTTTGTAGTATGTAGGCAAGTAGACCATCATGACTGTGACAACATTAGTGAGAATCCATGTAGAAATGAGGTGAGCGATGAATGGACGATTCGTAATGATTTTACGCCAAGGGATAGGTGGAGAACGCTGAAAAATACACAAATGAATGGAACCAAATTATGGCGTCATCCGCAAGAAGGTTACGATATAAGCTTTTGCTGTAGTAGTGAAACAAAATGGAAGCTGTAAGTGATAAGAGTAAATGAAGAGTTCATGAGACCATTCCTTACAAACAAGTCTCGGCATCTTCAACGCCACATGCTTATCATAGAAAAACTGCTAGGATAACAACTACGGACGAATGCGTTCCATGTCACGCAATATCAACACTTCAACACTGCTCTGAATATGTATTCTTGAGTTATAAGCTCTCGATCTAACTTCTCCGATCCGTACCTCTGAACTGAGAGACCGTGAAAAACATCGCTCCTTAGATTTTCCGGGTGGAAGTTACGTAAGGCTTGTGGCAATTGAGCCTTTTCAGTGTTTCTACAAGGTCTTTTTCTATTGCCAAATGACGAACACGTCTCTAAAACTCACAGTTCCAGTGGTTGATGATCACTTTTCGATATGGTCCTAGTAGATGGCTGCTAACACAAATGTCATGCTACTACTCATGAGAGGCCTCATTCTTTCTGCTTACAGAGCTTACTGTTGCTCAATCTCAATCGAAGCTCAATGAATATTGCACTGTGGTGATCATTCAATGGTATCCTTAAACATGCCTCCGAAAGTTCGTCATCGCTTGCACTGCTACTGTGTTACTTACAATCGTTCAAAAGGGGTCGCGGTAGTTCTCCCTGAATCCCCACGGCCTGCGGCAGGTGTTCCGCGGCGACTCTCTGTATTCATCTACTGGAACTCCGAATGGCTGCTTTCAGACTTCGACGACCGTCCGTCCGTCCGTCCGTCCGTTCAACGCGTGCGCGACGGTGGTCGCGGTGTTGTGAGGGGTGTTGACAGCGCCGAATACCGGTCAGACGCTGTCAACACCTTTCTAGAACCGCCGTCTCGACACGCATGCGACCGCCGTCGGGCACGCGTTGAACGGACGGACGGACGGTCGGTCGTCGAAGTCTGAAAGCGGCCAAACTTACCCTTCATAGCGTGCGGCGAGCGAGACGCGCGTTCGGGGAGAAGATGCCAGACCCGTTTAAAAGGAATCTAGACTTTTGCACCTGCCCAAACGCTCCAACCCGACCACTTCCATAAAGATGTCCAAATTCGTTACGAACAGGACCATCTGAATTGTTTAATTATTGTTATTTTCGAAATACTTCCTATCAGGGAAATTAGGCTTCTTTACATTTTATTGGAACTTTTTTCTTTGCTAGAATTTCTTTTATCTTTCTTAGTAAGAAAACTCTTTAAAGCAGAGACGATGAAAGTTTCAAGTTAAAAGACCAATTTTCTCGAAGTTTCACTTTCTCATCATTTTCATCATAGCCATCATTCTCATAACTAACATCAGATCAGGTTAGCTACGATCGAGGGGAGGCGCGTAATCAAGATGCGGTTAGTTACGATTAAGGTCACTTCGCACCTAGACGCGAAGTGATCTGAATGGTACCTAAATTTATCTCAATCGTAACTAAGCTCTCACACCAATATTATGTAGTTACAACACGAGTGTAGTCACGTAGAATTATGCCGTGAAATAATGACGGCAGATGTGTAAGCTATACACCGTTGACGACTATTTGTGCGATCCGGTGCAACTAATTTCACATGCCACTTTGCTCTACAAATGCTTGAATGATTTATTGAGGGAAAGAGATGACCATAACTCTCTCCAATNTATAGAGACAGACGGCAGACACGTAGTCATCCTTTGTGCTCCTTGTGCTCATATAGCCGTTGCATCCGTATAAGGTGCCTGGGGGAAGACGTTCGAGCTAAATACAGTTTTTTACTTTTCGCCGCTCAGCCACATAAAATTCGATACAACCTTAAGTGGTTACATAACATTTAGCGCAATTCGCGATACGAGCGCTACCGTTGGAACGAAGGCTCAATTTTTAGTAAAAAGAGTGCAACAATTTTTGCATACTACTCGATCACTATCGAAGATTGGGAATTTCCTGGCAGCTAGTAAATTGTGCCGTAAACTCACCTCTGCTTCCTTTTCATCGAAATGGATTTCTAAGACATCGAGTATTTTCTGCCAAACAGTCTTGTCATTCGCATTAACAACCAGACTGCAAAAAAACCGAAAAAAATGAAACAAGCAAAAGTTTCAATTGAGCGAATACGAACCCTCTTCCTCCAACAATCAGATCAGCTTTTATTTTACTTCGGTGATCCGGTGTCTTGAGCCATTCCAGTGCCTTTTCTGCCAACTCATCACTCCAAACCTATTGATTTTAAACTAATTATCATTTGTAACTGGCGGCGAGACTTGTCAAAGTAACCAACCAGGTCGTTGGTGTACATACTGTTGAGCGTTATAAAAGTTTCTTTCTCATCTAGTGGAGTTTCCGAGCCTGAAGAGGAAACTGTCGGACAAATTTAGAACAATTTTACGAGTAGAGCGGAAAATTCATGTCAGAGAGTTTTGGCTGCTTGAGGGTATTCGCTAATTACAAGACTCACCCTTGATGTAGGAGATCGCTATGAAGATAGTCACTATTATGAACAGCGAAGACATTTGCATGTGATACGATTCTTCAGGAATCCTCTATTTAAGGATAGCGGTGATGTATTTCACTTGCACCTGCGTGTACAAGTAAACACATCCCATTGCCAGACTTTCCGCAGAGAACATCTGTTTTTCCTTGCACATTTGGCTGCAGAACTGTGCAATCCAAGCCTGATAAACATCAGATGTGAAGCGGGCTATTCAAAGAAAACGTTGCAAGCTTTTTCTTGAGAAAATCAGGCGATACGGTATGTTTGCTTGTATACGCAGGTGCAAATAGAACACATCGCCACTACCCATAAATAGGTGAACGGTCGCGAAAATTGTATCACATCCAAATGTTGTTGTTCACATTCGTGGCTCTCCTCGTAACAATCCACTCCGTTAAGGGTGAGTATTACAGCGTTCAAACCACACGAAGCTAAGACGTTCCGGCATCTCGCTTCGCTCATGATATGGCTCTGAATTTACCCGACGGTTTTCTCTTCAGGCTCGGAAACTCCACTTGAAGAGAAAGAAACTTTTATAACGCTCAACAGTATGTACACAAACGATCTGGTTGGTTTCTTTGACAGGTCTCGCTGACAGCCACAAATGATTGTTAGTTTGAAATCAATAGGTTTGGAGTGATGAGTTGGCAGAAAAGGCATTGGAATGGCTCAAGTCACCGGATCACCGAAAAATAAAAGCTGATCTGATTGTTGGAGGAAGAGGGTTTGTAACTGCTTAACTGCAACTTTTCCTGTGTTGCACTTTTTTCACAATTTTTTTTTTGCAGTTTGGTTGCTAATGCGAATGACAAGACAGTTTGGCAAAAAATACTTGATGTTTTGGAGATCCATTTCGATGAAAAGGAAGCAGAGGTGAGTTGGCGGCACTGAGGGTACTGAGTTGCCAGGAGTTTCCAACTTCCCATAGTATTCGAGCAATATGCAGAAGTTGTTGCATAGTTTCTACTAAAAATACTTCCAAAATGTCTAAGCCATAATAAGGCACTCATTGATCAACACAATTCCCTTGACCCTTTGTTCCAAGATAGCACTCGTAAATTGTTCTGAACTTAGGTAAACTTTTAAGTTTGTTTCGAACTTTATATNTTCAAGCTGCCAAAAATAGAAAAACTGTTCAGCTCGAACGTCTTCCACCAGGCACATTATATGGGTGCAAGGGCTATATGAGCACAAGGAGCACGAAAGACGATTACGTGTCTGCCGTCTGTCTCTATAGATTGGAAAGGGTTATGATCATCTCTTTCCCTCAATAAACTATTAAAGCATGTGTAGAGCAAAGTGACATGTGAAGTCAGTCACATAGAATTCCTGTGCAAAAGTTCGAAATGTAGGCTCGGCTTGGCCCGAAGGAGAATGCACAAGGGAGTGCTTGATTCCCCTTCGAAGCTATGCGTTTCGCCATTTCTCGCCACTTTTGTGAATAGCTTGAATGGGAATAACATACCCTTGGAAAAGATGGGAAACAAATTCCTGAGACTTTAAAACTCCAAATTTTTTGAGTAATCATGCTCATTAAATTAATGCGAATCACAAAACGAATTAGATTTTTTGTGGATTTTCTTTGTATTATGGTCAACGGAAAAGACTTTCGCTTCAAACCGATGTTCTGGATTTCTATGTATGTCTGGAAGTCATTAAAACATCGAAAAAAGATGCCTTGAACAACGGAAGTGTCTCCTATATGCAATGAAGCCCCTTACCCCTTGTCCATCTCCCTTTACCAGGACTGCGGATCTTTTGAGGAATTTTCTTTCTTCCATCTTCATAACACGACATTCATCGGGAGAGTTGGAACTAAACAACATCCATAGCACACACCATGCAGCTCCCATTGCAGCTGAAAAGAGAATTTGTATTTATCTCTAAGAGTTGACTGGAAATCTATTTAAATTTTCCGTTACATTTTTGGTAACCAGTCAAGCACCAGAAACAGAACAATTGATCGGCTAGTTTTTGTGAAGGTTTCTAGATGGGGCAAAAGTCTACGGTGCACTATACGGGGTGTCCCAAAATTATTGGCGCCGACTTATAGCAATATATATGAAACTTCTCAGCTACGAAAGACAATGGAATTTCTGCGCACGCTAGCTAACATTATGTGCTACAACATACTACAGTCGCATTTCAAAATATCCCCCCAAGAGTGCGGATAGAAGTCAAAGTTTGCTCTCGACGTGATCGCGTGTGGCACGCAGGTATCCTTCGCCATTTTTCCCAGCCGTTCTTCAGCCTTTACATTCTAGAACTCCAAACTGGGACTGCAAACTCAACAGGTCCTTTTCTAATCAGGAACCAT